TTGGTGCTTATAGACCAATTCCCAGCATAAGGAATATCCCTGAGAAATTAAACCAATTTACTCATGAGCAAGAGTAACTTGAAACTTTGGTCAGTCAGAGCAGGAAAGAAAGGCTACTTAGGACAGATTTCAAAGGCATTAGTAAGTCTGGCCCTGAGACAGGACACTGTATTGGAGGTGTTTTGGGTTACAGAGTAGGCTGAGTGTCTCATCCTTGCAGGAGTGTGCAGCACACACTGTGAGCCTGCCAGGAGAAACAAGCACCCTGCCAGGCAGTGCTGACACAAAGGAGAAATCTTGCTGTGTTCAAGCAGCAGCTTTGGCTTTCCAGCACACGATTCAGAGGTTTCAGTAATCCTCCCAACATCTCTCAGCACACACATTTACAACGGTGAGCATGTAGAATACCTTGCATTGCTAAAGCTCCTACAAAAACACACCTTTTCCCACAGAGAAACAGCAAATGTCCCTGCCCAGTGAGGCAGTTTGAAAAGGTCTGCTCAAGGTTCCCTCAACTAAAGCTGCAGAGATTGGCACACATCAAAAAGCAAAAGCATTACCTTTTCTGGTGCAGGAGGATTCAGTGGCAACAAGAGCACTCTCAGTGATCCCAGCAGCTCTAGCCAGTTGGCTCCCAGCAGCTGTGCCTTTCTCCCCTCGTCCCTGAATGCCTGACATCTCTAACCTGTGGGAATTTAAACCCTGTCGCCAGCACAGCCACCAATCCCCACGTGGCGGAAAAAGATGAGGTCATGAGGCTCCTGGCCACTGTCCTGCCCACGTTCTCCTACACTTCCTCTTTGGCTTTGTGGCTTCTGAAGCAAACAAAAACTACTTTATGGTTAAAACATTACTTATGGGCAAGATCATTAACCAGCAGGTCTGGTGAATGCACAGCAGTTGGTATGGTGTAGGAGGCTCCAGGGCATGGCTGTTCTCCATTTGTGAGAAGGCAGAGTCCAGTTTACCAGAAACCTTTTGTGCCCTGTTCTGTAGGGGGTAGGAATGTGCAATGTGTGCAGGAAGGAAGGAATTTGAACATAAAATTCACCAAAAAGTTGTCAATGCTTCCACAAAATTGTAGATTTGCACTCTAGGGCATACATGATCATAGAATCATAGAATTGTAGGGGTTGGAATGGACCTTAGAGATCATCCAGCCCCAACCCCCTGCCCTGGGCAGGAACACCTCCCACCAGAGCAGGTTGCTCAAGGCTCAGCCAACCTGGCTGTGAACACTGCCAGGGTTGGGGCAGCCACAGCCTCCCTGGGCAACCTGGCACAGGGTCTCACCACCCTCACAGGAAAAACGTCTGCCTAACACCTAACCTCAATTTCTCCTCCTTCAATTTGTGCCCATTGCCCCTTGTCCTGTCCCTGCAGCTCCTAACACAGATCCCTCTGCAGCTTCCCTGGAGCCCCTTCAGCTCCTGCAAGGTGCTCTGAGGTCTCCACACAACCTTCTCTTCTCCAGCCTCAACAGCCCCAACTCCCTCACAGGTGAGATGCTCCAGTGCTCTTAGCAACTTTGTGGCCTCCTCTGCACTTGCTCCAACAGTTCCATGTCCTTCTTACATTGAGGCACCAGAACTGTGTGCAGTATTCCAGGTGGGTCTCACCAGAGCAGAGCAGAGGGGCAGAATCACCTCCCTTGACCTGCTGCCCACACTTCTGTGACTCAGCCCACGCCTGGGTTGGTCTCTGGGCTGAGCTCACACTGCAGCTCATGGGGAGTTTCTCACCCACCATCACCCCCAAGATTCTCTCCTCAGTGCTGCTCTCAATTAATTCTCCAATGCAATGGGAATGACACAGACAGAGCAAATTAAGGCCTTTGGCATTGTTTGGTCTGACTTGGGTTAAAAATTGATAGTAGTTATCTCTATAGTCAACTTGTTTGTAAAGATATGCATGAGCCAGTGCTACTCTAATTAAGAAAGATTTGTGCATCATTTTGAGAAATTGTCACTCCTTCTCTATTCATTTGTGTCCCTTCTGGCTCCTTTCTCAGGTGGTTTGATCAAATCAGCTGCTGCACCAAACCTGCTCCAGAAGCATTTTCAGCGACCCAATGCCAGACGATTTTCAAGCTGTTTTTCAGATCTGTTCTGGCAGTGCCTTGCTTGGATGGCCACAGCTTTGGAGAGACTGAGCATCAGCTGGGGTGTGCTGTAAGGCCCTCAGCCCCTCAGCCCCTCTTCCATCTCACCTCTCTTTAAGCTGGCAATGAGATATCCTTCAGGAAACATTTCAAACAGCCCTTTCAGAAGGCAGAATACTTATATCTGTTTCAGACTCGTTATCTTCTTCCACATTCCTGAACCCCAGCTAATGTTTGCTTTGTCCTTCAAGCAGACAATAAACACCTTGTTGTAGCAACTCATCTTTCCAGTTTTCCTGTGCTTACTAACACTTCTGCAGTATATTTGGCAATACCGTGAGAAACATACCCAAGTTAGCTCAGAAACATACCCAACCTGCTCCTCACCACAACACAGACCTAGCTAATTGGGTCTTTGATCAGCAACAGCTACAAATTCAATTTTGTCGATTTAAGAGAGTATTCTAACATTCTAGGAGAAGAATTGGATAAAAAGCTAATATATACTATATCATTACTGGTTCTGCACATAAGGATCCACCTGAATGAGGACTATCCTAGCTTTTATTCTTGGAGCTTTGTGACACTGACTCAGGACAGACTTTTCAACCAAAAAAAAGCCTTCAGTAACTAGGATTTCAGCAGCAGGATCTCCTCAGAAGTAGACAGGTTGTTCCCATCACATCTGCAGCTCAGTGCTCCTGGAAACCAGTTTACTGAAGGCCTTGAAAGCAGGACCAGACTGAGTGGGAGCTGTTTGGAGGTTTCAGGCGAGCATTATGGAGCAGCTGAAACTATTATTTAGTAACTAGCACTCCTTCAATAGGCCACTGCTGTTGATACCAGGGAACCCTAAGCCAGGCCCTTAGATATCCAAGTACCTTTGATCCCAAACACCGAACTACTTCCCTCTGACAGAGCAAGAACCTGAGACAGAGTGAAACTTGGTGGCTCACACCACTGGATGTTGGACTGGGTATGATACTGCTCTCCTGTCCACACCCTGGATCAAATTTTAAGCTTGAAAAT